TGTTTCGTCGCTATCCCCCCCAGAATCGAGCGCAGGTGCATGAGTGCGAGGCTCCGGCAGTGAGGGAGTGCGAATGGGAGTGAGATCGATTTTTGTCGACTTGGGGCCACTCTTTGGGAGCATCCACTGTTTCATCGCTATCCCCCCAGAATCGAGCGGTACATGAGTGCAAGGCTCCGGCAGTAAGAGACTGTAAATGGGAGTGAGATCGGATTTTGTCAACTTGGGCATGCCAGAAATCCCTGGAAAGATGTATTCATCGAATTTTACCATTGCGATTGAAGTCCATGGTATCAGTGCAACCAACTATGCCACCTGGTCTGGCGAAATGGAGGCCTGGCTATGCGCTACTGGCCTCCAACACATTGTTTTGGGGAAGTAAGTTGCTCCTACAATGTCCTCACCACCTAAACCAACTGAGGAGGCCGCTGAAGCATGGGAGTTAAGCGGACAAGGCAGCTGCGCAGCATTTTGAGCGTTCTTGGCCTTGTCCTTGCCCTTTCCGTAGGCGTTGCGACGATTCTGGGCCTTGTCGCTTGTATACTGCTTGCCACGGTCATAGGCGCTGCACTTGTCATGTTTGTGACCTTCCATGCCGCAGAAATTGCATGTGAGCTTCTTTCTGGAGAGCGGATGACAATGCAAGGGCACTCCCAATGGCTGGCATGTCTGAAGCGCAACGACGACGTTGGATCTCCTCTGTTATGAAGGCTGCCTGAATTGTGGACTTGTCCAACTTGTCCTGAAGGAGCAGGGACAAAACAAAACCGTTGTACTCTTCTGGGAGAGCTTGGATCATCACCATGGCTGCGAGTTCATTGTCTAAATTGGAGTGAATCCAGTGGTCCGGAGATCCTGAATGGTGTGTGAATGGAGTCTTCCACTTGGTTGATTAGAGACTGCAATGTTGATCTTGAAGGACTTGTGCTTAGCAAGGTAGAGACAAGACAGTAGATTATTGCGAAGTGAAGGGACATGGAGAACACATGAAAAATCTACAGGCATCGCTGCCTTTCCTCTAATAACTGTATTAAAAACCACAGATCCAACCCCAGCAGAATGGATGATGCTGTGATCTGCTAACTTGATCGGTATGCAAAGGGGCTCATAGTTGCGCACCCAGTGACGATGGGGGGTCGTATGAGAAGTTGCCCCTGTGTCTACAATCCAATCAAAGTCAGGGGGTGCAGGAAGATGTAGAGCGAGCACTGAGACAGAAGTGTCCTCAGAGGTGTTGTTGGCCTTGTGAGCAGGAACACAGTCAGAGTCAATGGCATCAAGGATGATCGAGTGAAGATGTGGAACACCTTACGCGACGTACATGTCCAGAGACGCCCTGGAACACGGTTCAATGCTTATGACGACCTTTTTTTGATCAGGAAGCAAGAAGATGAGACTCTACAGTCTCTAATCAACCAAGTGGAAGACTCCATTCACACACCATTCAGGATCTCCGGACCACTGGATTCACTCCAATTTAGACAATGAACTCGCAGCCATGGTGATGATCCAAGCTCTCCCAGAAGAGTACAACGGTTTTGTTTTGTCCCTGCTCCTTCAGGACAAGTTGGACAAGTCCACAATTCAGGCAGCCTTCATAACAGAGGAGATCCAACGTCGTTGTTGCGCTTCAGACATGCCAGCCATTGGGAGTGCCCTTGCATTGTCATCCGCTCTCCAGAAAGAAGCTCACATGCAATTTCTGCGGCATGGAAGGTCACAAACATGACAAGTGCAGCGCCTATGACCGTGGCAAGCAGTATACAAGCGACAAGGCCCAGAATTGTCGCAACGCCTACGGAAAGGGCAAGGACAAGGCCAAGAACGCTCAAAATGCTGCGCAGCTGCCTTGTCCGCTTAACTCCCATGCTTCAGCGGCCTCCTCAGTTGGTTTAGGTGGTGAGGACATTGTAGGAGCAACTTACTTCCCCAAAACAATGTGTTGGAGGCCAGTAGCGCATAGCCAGGCCTCCATTTCGCCAGACCAGGTGGCATAGTTGGTTGCACTGATACCATGGACTTCAATCGCAATGGTAAAATTCGATGAATACATCTTTCCAGGGATTTCTGGCATGCCCAAGTTGACAAAATCCGATCTCACTCCCATTTACAGTCTCTTACTGCCGGAGCCTTGCACTCATGTACCGCTCGATTCTGGGGGGGATAGCGATGAAACAGTGGATGCTCCCAAAGAGTGGCCCCAAGTCGACAAAAATCGATCTCACTCCCATTCGCACTCCCTCACTGCCGGAGCCTCGCACTCATGCACCTGCGCTCGATTCTGGGGGGGATAGCGACGAAACAGTGCCAGATGCTCCCAAAGAGTCATTTGAACATCCAGAACCTCCTGAAACACCTCTGCACTCTCCTAAGGCCAAATCACCCTCTCCCACTGATTCCACTCCAGAACAATCTCCTGAGCCAGAAATAGCTCAACATCGCAATACACGCCACCAGTCGCTCCAACCACTTGTTGAGCCTCAACCTGATCCAGAACGCTTGCTGAGACGCACTACACGTGTTTCGCGTCCTACTGGTGAATGGTGGAAGGTGAAACACCGTCACAAGGTTCCTGATGAGCCTCCTGTTATCTGGTCCGACACCTTCTGGTGAAAAGGCAATTGGGTATTCAAGGTCAAACGCAATGCAGACGGTTCTATTGAGCGCCACAAGGCTCGTATCGTTGCTAAAGGCTATTCTCAACATCCTGGCATTGACTACAACAAAGTCTTTGCTCCCACATTCCGTCCTGCAACTCTACGCCTCATTCTTGCATTAGCTGCCATTGAGGACCTGGAACTTCGCTCTGTGGACATTACCTCCGCATTCCCCAATGGTGACTTGGACGAAGTGATCTACATGAAGCAGCCAGAGGGATTCCACATTGGAGCACCTCACCAAGTCTGCAAACTCCGGAAATTGCTCTATGGTCTCAAACAGTCTGCTCGTCAATGGAACAAGAAGCTGCACTCTGTTCTCAGCGAAATGGGCTTCAAACGCATTGAATCTGACCACTCTGTCTATGTCTACTCAAATGGCGAAGTCAGGATCATTGTTCCCATCTATATAGATGATATCACATTCGCTTCGAAATCCACTGCTGCCATTGACAAGTATGTCAAGATCCTTTCCCAACACTTCAAATGTCGCGATTTGGGCCCTACCAAGTATCTGCTTGGTGTTGGAGTGGGTAGACTGCGCTCCACTCGCACAATCACGTTGCACCAGCGCCAGTTCATTGTTGACACCTTGGAGAAGTATGGTATGAGTGACTGCCATCCTGTGCTCACTCCCCTTCCTCCAAAACTCAAATTATCGCATGACATGGCTCCCAAGTCAGAAGATGAGGAGAAACAGATCATGGCCAATGTTCCCTACCTCTCAGCAGTTGGTTTGCTTCAGTATCTGGCCACTATGACTCGCCCTGACATCCAACATGCTGTCTCCACTCTTGCTCGCCTTAATGCAAATCCTGGCCCCAAACACTGGCAGGCACTGTTGGATGGTTGGTTGGTGTATTTGTTCAGCCCCAGCGGCAAATCCCCTTGTCCGTGAACCTATAGGTGTGCAACAGAAAGGGTTTGTGGCTGGATGGAGGTGTTGGCAAGTGAGGCAAACAGCCCAGTGTTGCTGTCAAAATCACCGCAGACAATGAGCGCATGTGTTGTGGCATGGAAGGGTTGGCAGGCTTTTTTGTGCCTTTGGAGAGTGTGACCAAGAGAGCAAGATGGAATTGGAAGCAGGTGAAAGAATGAGATAGCTGCTGCAAGTTGGCTTTGCGGTTGCCGACAACAAAGTGTTGTTGGTTTGGGTATGTTTGTCTGGGCTACCCTGATCTCACCTGGTGGGCCGGGAAGTGTACCACCTCCGCCTGATGATGCAGTGTGCACATTTTTTCCAAGGGAAGGGCAGTGTGTGTCTGCAATCATTGGTGGGTTAGTTTGTAATTTGTGTGGTTCTCAGCTGGAGGTAGCCTAGTGCAGCACTTTGAAAATAGATAAATGAGCAGAAATTGCTGAATAATCTAGGAGAAGAAATACTCACCTTGGCGGGGCGGATGAGGTGCAGAATTGGAGGCAAGCACTGGATCAAGGGGTTGTGTGGAAGATGCAGATGTGGCAGAGGATGAGGTGCAAGACTGGGAGGCAAGCATTGTTCCAAGGGGTTGTGGATGATTGCAACTCAGCAGGACTTCACTCATCACTCAGAACAAAGAGGTCAGCAATGTCTAGATATTATCAAAAAGATGGAACTTGGAGAGTGTGATGGAGCATAGAGTGCGCAAAGGAAATAGAGCCAACGCACTCCAATAGAATTTGAGCCATGCATGATCAGCATGTAAGATATAGCTCCCAAAGAGGGAAACCCTGGGGAACCTTTCAGAAATCATGTGCAAAAACCCTGGCCCAAAAAACTCACAGATTTGACTCCAATAACCTTGGAATGACCAATTTTTCCAATTACACCTCTAGGGCAACTTGTCACTGGCAGACTAATTAATGATATCCTTTCCAGATGTGACTGACGGTCACATATATGGTAAGTAAAATACTGACAAACAAAAGAGATACTACTGTTGAGAACATTAAACATATTCCCTACACTAGGAGTTATAGGTAGGTATGCACAGGATCACCAAGTCCAAGTTGTGCCAAGTTGTGCCAGCCTTTCTATCAAGACTCCTCATCTTCAGTTCTGTTTATCCTTATTTTGTAAGGAGTTTCTCAATACAAGAGGCTGGTTTAGGAGCCTGCAATGCCTGCTGCTTTTCCATTTGGTAGGTAGGTCTTGGAAAGCTTGTTCTATGTTGGAGTATTTGATAAATTTTGCAAGGTTGCTTTCTCAAGTGGGATATGTTAGAGTGTGACATTAGTCCTCTGCATGGTGAATAATATGGTGTACCCAAGCAGATGTCCACACCTCTGCTATGTAGCATGTGCCAATGGAATCCAAGTGGATGACCACACCTAGGTTAATAATACCTACCTATAACCCAACATGACTGGATAGCTCAGTGGTTAGAGCAGTCCACCCGGATAGTGGGAAGGTCCTTGGTTCAAACCCAAGACTGGTCAAAAACTCCTTTCAACAGGTTATGGGCCCCGGCCTCTGAGCGCACCAGTAACTCATTTTCGCCTTTGCCAGTCATATCGTCACTCGCTCTTCGTTTAACTTTGCGTGCCACGTTGTCGCACGTTCATACACCACTCCTTTCATTTACAAGTCGCTACACGCACATTCCACTCCCTATCACTCACAATGTCAACACCTGCTCCCAACTTCGCTAAACTCAGTGCAACCAACTATGCCACCTGGTCTGGCGAAATGGAGGCCTGGCTACGCGCTACTGGCCTCCAACGCATCGTTTCGGGGAAATCGGTTGCTCCTACAGTGTCCTCACCGCCTAAATCGACTGAGGAGGCCGCTTTGGAAGCATGGGAGTTGAAAGCGGACAAGGCAGCTGGGCAGATATATCTCATGGTGGAACACAGTCAGAGGGTTCATTTCAATGGCATCAAGGATGATCCAGTGAAGATGTGGAACGCCCTACGCGATGTACACGTCCAGAGACGCCCTGGGACACGGTTCAACGCTTATGACGACCTCTTTTCAATTAGGAAGCATGAAGACGAGACTCTACAGTCTCTAATCAACCGAGTGGACGACTCTATTCACACCATTCAGGATCTCCGGACCAGTGGATTCACTCTGGCCCATTTGGACGATGAACTCGCAGCCATGGCGATGATCCGAGCTCTCCCAGAAGAGTACAACGGTTTCGTTTCGTCCCTGCTCCTTCAGGACAAGTTGGACAGGTCCACAATTCAGGCAGCCTTCATAACAGAGGAAATCCAACGTCGTCGTCGCGCTTCGGACATGCCAGGCATTGGGAGTGCCCTTGCATCGTCATCCGCTCTCCAGAAGCTCACATGCGATTTCTGCGGCCTGGAAGGTCACAGAATCCACGAGTGCAGTGCCTATGACCGTGGCAAGCAGTATGCACGCGACAAAGCCCAGAATCGTCGCAACAACCGCGGAAAGGGCAAGGACAAGGCCAAGAACGCTCAAAATGCCAACAACACCTCTGAAGACACTTCTGTCTCAGAATTCGCTGGAATCGCAAGTGCTCGCTCTACATCCTCCTCCACTCCTCCTGACTTCGATTGGATTGCAGACACAGGGGCGACTTCTCATATGACCCCCCACCGTCACTGGGTGCGCAACTATGAGCCCCTTCGCATACCGATCAAGTTAGCAGATCACAGCATTGTCTATTCTGCTGGGGTTGGATCTGTGGTTTTTAACCCAGTTATTAGAGGAAAGGCAGCGATGCCTGTAGAGTTTTCACGTGTTCTCCATGTCCCTTCACTTCGCAATAATCTACTCTCTTGTCTCTACCTTGCTAAGCACAAGTCCTTCAAGATCAACATTGACTCTGATACCATGGACTTCAAACGCGATGGTAAAACGCTTTTCTGCGCGCCTATCTCATCCAGCAACTGTGCAACTCTGGAAGGAACCACAGAACCGGAATTTGAGTCTGCTCACTGGGTTTCAACGCTCCCACTCACCGCTTCGCTCTGGCATCGTCGCTGCTGTCACCACAGCTTTGCAGATATCGCCAAGATGCAGCGCGAGGGTATGGTTACTGGCATGGTCATTGAATCGAAGGACAAACCAGATCCGGTCTGTGAGCCTTGTTTAGCAGGCAAGATGCACTCCAACCCGTTCCCAACGTCGCCATCTCGTGCCACAATGCCTCTTGAGCTCATTCACAGTGATTTGCATGGTCCTCTCCCTGTCGCTACTCGTGAAGGCTACCGCTACTGGATCACGTTCATTGACGATTGCACATCGTTCCGAGGCGTCCTGAAGCTCAAGAAGAAAAGCGAAGCATTTGAAGCCTTCAAAACATTCAAAGCATATGCTGAGAATCACTTCAACGCGAAAATCAAAGCTCTACAGAACGACAAAGCAGGTGAATACATGTCTGGGGCTTTCATCAGATTCACGGACCAGTGCGGCATTGTACGACGCCATACAACGCAAAACCGCCCCCAACAGAACGGAGTTGCAGAACGAGCAAATCGGACCATGGCAGATGATATTACTGCAATGTTGGTTGAAGCTGGATTACCTCCGTCGTTTTGGGGCCTCTGCCTCGCTGCTCAAGTACACGTCTGGAACCGCCTCCCTACGTCGTCTCTGCCACAGGGAACTCCATACGAAGGCTGGCACAAGCGCAAACCGGATATGTCACATCTTCGCATTTGGGGCTGTCTTGCATATGTCTTCATACAGCGAGATAAGCGCAAGTCCTTGCAGCCACACATGGAGAAGTGCATCTTTGTAGGTTATCCTAGCGGTTACAAAGGCTGGCAGTTCTACAACCCGCAGACAAAGAAGTTCATCATCTCAGAACGAGCTGAGTTCGATGAACGCGTCTTTCCAGGGATTTCTGGCATGCCCAAGTCGACAAAAATCGACCTCACTCCCATTCGCACTCCCTCACTGCCGGAGCCTCGCACTCATGCACCTGCGCTCGATTCTGGGGGGGATAGCGACGAAACAGTGCCAGATGCTCCCAAAGAGTCATTTGAACATCCAGAACCTCCTGAAACACCTCTGCACTCTCCTAAGGCCAAATCACCCTCTTTGCCTCCCTCTCCCATTCATTCCACTCCAGAACGATCTCCTGAGCCAGAAATAGCTCAACGTCGCAATACACGCCACCAGTCGCTCCAACCACTTGTTGAGCCTCAACCTGATCCAGAACGCTTGCTGAGACGCACTACACGCGTTTCGCGTCCTACTGGTGAATGGTGGAAGGTGAAACACCGTCACGAGGTTCCTGATGAGCCTCCTGTTATCTGGTCCGACGATGGAGGTGATTCTGATGACAATGCAGCTGAATTCGCAAATTCCGCTCTGGAGAGTGAACCACGCACTTTCAGACAAGCACTGCAAAGTAACCAGTCCGTTCACTGGCGCGAAGCCTCAACACTTGAGTACAACACTCTCGTCGACAATGGGACTTGGGAAATCGCTGATTTACCTTCTGGTGAAAAGGCAATTGGCTGTGGATGGGTATTCAAGGTCAAACGCAATGCGGACGGTTCCATTGAGCGCTACAAGGCTCGTATCGTTGCTAAAGGCTATTCTCAACGTCCTGGCATTGACTACAACGAAGTCTTTGCTCCCACATTCCGTCCTGCAACTCTACGCCTCATTCTTGCATTAGCTGCCATTGAGGACCTGGAACTTCGCTCTGTGGACATTACCTCCGCATTCCCCAATGGTGACTTGGATGAAGTGATCTACATGAAGCAGCCAGAGGGATTCCACATTGGAGCACCTCACCAAGTCTGCAAACTCTGGAAATCGCTCTATGGTCTCAAACAGTCTGCTCGTCAATGGAACAAGAAGCTGCACTCTGTTCTCAGCGAAATGGGCTTCAAACGCATTGAATCTGACCACTCTGTCTATGTCTACTCAAATGGCGAAGTCAGGATCATTGTTCCCATCTATATAGATGATATCACATTCGCTTCAAAATCCACTGCTGCCATTGACAAGTATGTCAAGATCCTTTCCCAACACTTCAAATGTCGCGATTTGGGCCCTACCAAGTATCTGCTTGGTGTTGGAGTGGGTAGACTGCGCTCTACTCGCACAATCACGTTGCACCAGCGCCAGTTCATTGTTGACACCTTGGAGAAGTATGGTATGAGTGACTGCCATCCTGTGCTCACTCCCCTTCCTCCAAAACTCGAATTATCGCATGACATGGCTCCCAAGTCAGATGAGGAGAAACAGATCATGGCCAATGTTCCCTACCTCTCAGCAGTTGGTTTGCTTCAGTATCTGGCCACTATGACTCGCCCTGACATCCAACATGCTGTCTCCACTCTTGCTCGCTTTAATGCAAATCCTGGCCCCAAACACTGGCAGGCACTGAAGCATCTCCTTCGCTATGTCAAGGGCACCATTGAACACAAACTCACATACTCTGGCAACAATGTTGGTGATGAGCTCTTCACCACATACACAGACTCTTCCCATGGTGATTGTCCGGATACTGGACGCTCTACTGGTGGTTATGTGACAGTTGTTGCTGGTGGTGCGATTGGCTGGGGCAGCAAGTTGCAAACCATTGTAGCACTGTCTACCACTGAAGCAGAGTATGTGGCTGCAGTTGAAGCTGGGAAGGAAATCATTTGGATGCGACACATTCTCTCAGAGTTTGGCTATCCTGTCAAACAGGCCTCTACACTCAAGATGGACAACCAGAGCGCGATCACAGTCTCCAAAAACCCGGAACACCATGGTAGAATGAAACACCTTGACCTCCGGTTCTACTGGCTTCGCAACACTGTTGACTATGGCGAAATTGCACCAAACTACATTCCTACTGCGGAGATGATTGCGGACAACCTCACCAAGGCAGTACCAGCGCCTAAAGTCAAATTCTGTCGTGAACAAATGGGCATTTTACCTTAGTTTGTTTTATTTTCATTCATTCTTTCCATCTCTTCATTGTAGACATACGAGATCATGGGGGGGTGTTAGAGTGACTCTCATGTCAGGTGATTGACAGTTACATGTCACAGTAGTTATACTTCGCTCCAGAAGCATCCTGAAGTCCTTAGTTCCTAACTTCGGACTTCAGGTGAGTAGTACACTAGATATCACCAATACCTAAGTTCCTAACTTCGGACTTCAGTTTCCTTGTTGCTATTCACTCTGTTGAGCTGAGACGTTAATACTCGGCACATAGGCTCGTTACTACTCGCCTCGTTCGCCCACTTCAACAGGATATTTGTATTTGTAGGTGGTTGATGACATTGTTGGTATTAGTTCATCTGTTCCATGTTCTGTTCTTTCATTTTGGAGGTTACTGTGGTGCATCCTAGCTATTTCTGCTATTTTAGAGGATTTGGTCTTGTTGTTTATGTCAAGGTTTGGTTTACACAGGGCAGGTATTGTGTCTCTGGGTTTACATTCTTTGTTTGTTTGGATCCAGTATTTTCCATTTTGTTTACCTTCCAAGTGGGCTCTGGCTGCCACATTGTCT